AGAAAGCTGCAGAGATAGCGCAGGATAGTGCGCACCCCGGAAATGATCTCTTTCAGCTTCTGCCTTCTGGAAGAAGGTCCAGGGTTATAAAGACCAGGACTAGCCACCTGAGAAACAGTTTCTAAGCAAATGCAATTCTGGTTCTAAATGCAGCATAAGGGGTCTCTATAGTATAGTGTATTTTAAAATGGGGTTTTTAGGGGTTTTGAATGTTTTATGTAGTTTTTATGTAGTTTTATGTAGTTTTTCAATTTCATTGTTCTGCGTGGGACAATGACAATAAAGATATTGTATATCGTATATCGATCCCCAGCTCTGATTCCTGCACTCAGGATTGCTGGACACTTATCATAAAGCATCAGTCAAACACAAGAGGCATCAGCGTAATTAACACAAGGGGTACAAAAGCATTCCACAGATGCAAGAATCAGGAATGTGGAAACAGTGACTTGAGCAGTTTGCAGTGGGTCTACTCGGAAGTAAGTCTCTTTGAACTCAGTGGGGCTTCCTTCCAAGACTGCATCCTGATGTTTAGTTGGAATTTCCTTTCCTGAAACTTGAAGCCATGGGTTCGAGTCCTACCCTCCAGAGCAGGAGAAAACAAGCTGGCTCCATCGTCCATGTGACAGCCCTTGAGATATCTGGAGATGGATTCCATATCTCCTCTTTTCCAGGCTAAACATATTCACCTCCTTCAAGCGCTCTTCGCAAGGCTTAGTTTCCAGACCCCGGATCATCTTGGTTTCCCTCCTCTGCATACATTTCAGCTTGTCAATATCCCTCTTAAATTGCAATGTTGCCCCCTTTTGTACAGTGGTACCTCGGGTTAAGAACTTAATTCGTTCTGGAGGTCCGTTCTTAACCTGAAACCGTTCTTAACCTGAGGTACCGCTTTAGATAATGGGGCCTCCCGCTGCCGCTGCACGATTTCTGTTCTCATGAAGCAAAGTTCTTAAACCGAAATACTATTTCTGGGTTAGCAGAGTCTGTAACCTGAAGCGTCTGTAACCCGAGGTACCACTGTACTATGAATTTCCTTGATCTGGACACTAGATTTCTGTTGATGCAGAATAGCATTAGTGTGGGGTGTTTTGTGGGGGGGGAGGGGTTGCGGCTGCATCACACTGTCGACTCATGTTCAGCTTGTGTGCTACAGAGGTACCTCGGGTTACAGATGCTTCGGGTTAGAGGCTTCACGTTACAGACTCTGTTAACCCAGAAATATTACCTCAGGTTAAGAACTTTGCTTCAGGATGAGAGCAGAAATTGTGCTCCGGCAGCATGGCAGCAGCGGGAGGCCCCATTAGCTAAAGTGGTGCTTCAGGTTAAGAGCAGTTTCAGGTTAAGAACGGACCTCTGGAATGAATTAAGTACGTAACCCAAGGTACCACTGTACTAAGACCCCATGGTCCTTTTCACATGTTCTGCTAGTAAGGCAGATGTCCTCCATCTTATATTTGTAAGTGCAGAACTTGACATTTGTCCCTCTGGAAACTCATTTTTGTTAGTTTGGGCCCAGTTCTCCGATCCTCTAAGGTCACCTTGAATCCCGATTCTGTCTTCTGCAGCATTAGCTACCCCTCCCACTTGACATCTTTGGGGCCCCTTCCCACCCCGCAAATCTGTGATTCATCGATCAAGAACCACCCTGTCAGGGAAAGGATAGGTTGCTCGCCACGAATTAAAACTCCAGTTTGTGGGTTCCTGTTTAACCCGGGGACCCGAGTCTGCTCCAGATGTTTTGCGTGCCGCTCAGGCAAGCCATTGGGAATGGCAACACCATTAGGCGCCACTACCAAGAGTTGCAAATCCTCCATCTCCCCATGCCTGCAGTAGGCATCTCATGGGGCTAACCCAGGCACTGGATCTCTGGCTCAGAGATTAGCAGCCAGATGTTAATGGTTTGCCAACTGGCCCCTGCGCCCCTCCCCTCACACCCTTCTGCCCTGCAGGATCTCCATCTCCAGGCTGAGATTCCATCATCAGCATGATAAAGACATGAATGGGTTCCAAATCTTCCTCCTCCTTTAGGCCAACAAGCTGTTTATCCTAGGAGCTGCTGGTCAGTTGACTAGCCCTTCAGGCTCTCCCAGGCGGAGGCAGCAGCAGCAATGTCTGCCACATCCAGTCCACACCAAAATCCTGAGAATGGCACCCTGGACCAGGACCCCACCCTGGGCAAGGAAGCTCTGGGGTCTGCCGAGGAGCCTGGTGGCAGGCAGGGCGAGGGTCCGGCCAAGGAGGCGGGCAGAAAGGCGAAGAGGAAGAAGAAAAACTACCACCGCCACCCCAAGCCCCCCTACACCTATTTGGCAATGATTGCACTGGCCATCCAGTCCTCCCCAAGCCGGAAGCTCAAATTGTCCCAGGTAAGATGATCAGAGGGGTGGGGGGCTCAGGTGGGCGAGGGGGAGGCATCCCTACGAAAGGATATCGTGCAGTTGGGAAAGGTGCAGAAAAAGGGCCACCAAAATGAGGGAGTGGATGGAGCAACTCTCCTATGAAAAAAGGCGACTTTAGAGAAAAGCCTATCATTATTATTTATTGCTTGTACCCAGCTCATCTGACTGAGTTGCCCCAGCCACTCTGGGCAGCTTCCAGCAGAATTTGCAGGATACACCCGACTGTAAAAGCTGCCTTCGGATGTCTAGGGAAGGTCCTAGAATTGGTTCTCTCTTGGAGGAGACACGATAGAAGTTTGTAAAATTATGCACAAGAGGCTAGGGGAAAATCGTTCTCCTCCTCTCTTAACTGTAGCAGAATCCCAGGGAGCTGAATGCTGAGAGATTCAGGATGGGTAAAAGGACGTCCTAATTCTTCAGGCAGCGCAAACTGTGGGAGGCAGAGATGGCCACCAACTTGTATGGATTTTAAAGAGGATTGGATAAATTCATGGGCTACAAGCCAGAATGGCTGGGCTTTGCCACCACAGCTGGAGGCAGTTACTGGAAGTTTCAGGAAAGGAGAGAGAAGGCTCTTGTGCTCAGATCCTGTTTGTTGTTTTCCCACGATGGGCATCAGGTTGGCTGCTGTGAGAACAAGGATTCTGGAATAGACAGATAATTTATTACGGTCAAATGGGAAATTTTTATACGAATTCAGCAGCCCTGGGATTAATATCCTTTGCCTTGTACAATGTGTTCGAGCCCAGAAAACATAAGGATTTCGTCTTGACCTTTTTTAGGCTTGGAGTTTTCCTGAACTTACTTGCAGGGATACTTGTCCCGATTTCTGTGATGCTGGAATAGCTGGGCCCGATCCTTGTGGAGCCTCACAATTCAACTGGAGTTTAATTCGTCCCTCGAAGGCTGCAGAACAGGCTGCCTTAACACAACAGCTCTTTCCAAATCATGGGGACTTAGTTTCCACTATGATCATTCAGGATGACGGGATTTATTTGAAATTCTGAAATCTCTAGGCTTGTGCAGAGTTGGGCTCCCTTGCCTTGCAACCATCGCTGCTTTCCTGGGTCTCTTGCAGGAGAGTAAAAGCAAGGCAGTGCCTGCCCCTCTTCCAGGGCTTCATTCTGGTCCAAGTAATCAGGATTGCTCTCTATTTACCCATCAGAGATTGTCTGATACACACCCATTCAACCACTTCGATCCAAAATAACACCCTCCCCACATTTGCAGAAATTCAATCTTTTAGCGTGGTGGCACCTGTACACTTTGGAACTCCCTGCCTATTGATATTCACTGTCAGCGCCCGATGGGAACATTTTTGTTCAGACCAGCCTAGCTAGATATTTAGAACTGTAGAGTTGGAAGGGAGCTTAGGATCATCTAGTCCAACCCCCCTGAAATGCGAGATTTAATCCTGTTTTTCATCTATTTTAACTTTTCAGAAGTCTAAGATTGCTGTCAAATTTCCTTACTGGTGCTTTGAGGGGTTTTGGTTTTTTTGCAATTAAGCGGTGTATACCTTTTAGGAAATGAAATAAATATTCTAGATCACCCTGGGGTCAGGCTAGGGCTAGGATTTCAAAGACCAAGGCTCTTATCTGCCTAAGGACTGCTCCTTCCCAAACCAGTTAGCAAAATGCCTTGTTCCAAGCCTTTATTATCTCTGAAATTGAAGGGAATATTTACTTCCAGGTACCCATTTCTCCCCCCAGCTGTGCTAAGCTGCTTCAGCAAGATAAAAAGGCCCTCTGGGATATCTAAGAATCTCCTCTTCCCGCCCCCCCCCTTCCAACACCTCTGCATGGGGGAAGCCATCCTCACCAAAAACCCCTTGATAGTATTTTTAGAAGGGGGGAGATGTTTGGTTTTTGTTCAATTCAGGGTGGAGGAAACTAAAGAGGGAGTAAAATAATTCAGGGTTTAATAAGAAAATATTATTATTTATACATACATACATACATACATCAGCATCCAAGGATCACAGGGTGGTTTACAATATAAAAACAGAAAAATACAAAACCTGGTAACAAACAAGATCAATACCCGCCTCCCCCAGTTTAAAAGACCATAGTATAATTAGCCAGGGTGGTTTTTATTCATTCATGATAATTCTAATTTTGATTATATGGAGAACTTGGGGCAGAAAAAAAAGTGTTCTATCTATTATTAGTCGTCCCCAGGCTAGACCCATTGAAATGAATGACCCTGAGTGATTTAGCTCCATTAATTTGAGTGGGTCTACTCTTGAGAAGAATTTCTCCCTCTCCCAGAAGCCTACAATTTGTGGTTCTTCCTGCAGCAGATTTTGGACGAAGGGGTGTATATACTTTTCCCACTCAGTGCAGGATTAATCTATGGAAGTCCCTGCCACTAGATGTCAATGCTGCTGGATGAGAGTCCTTTGAAGGCGATGAGAGTGGGCGTTATGCCTCTGAATTACAGCCACGGGTGTAATTCTGGCGAAATACTAGTTTGGAGGAGCGACGGCCATCCTTGGGGGAGCAAGGGGTTCATTCGTGCAATATAGGACCAGAATATATTGTGGCTGAAAAACAGGGCAGCATACAAGGTGCAGGGTGAAGCTTAGAAATTGGAAAGGCAGTGGTGGTTCAATGGTTAGAGCGCTGGACTAGGAAGTGGGAGACCAGGATCAGTGGCGGAGCTGGGGGCAGCCGCGATGGCACCCCACCAGGATCGTGTTCCTCCGCCAGTGACCAGGGTTCGACTCCCCTTCCCTTGGCTGTGAAGCTCACTGGGTGTGGCCTCAAAGGCCAGTTTCTGCTTCTCAGCTGAGCCTACCTCACAGGGCTGTTGTGCGGATGACACAAGGAGGGAGAGAACCACGTGGCCACCTTGAGGCCCTTAGCGGAAAGGTGGGCTCAAATGCAATAAATCAATATGTTTGAGAGGCACTCTGTGCATTCTCAGAGGCCCTTGACCCAAGGGGTCGGGCTTGGCCATTGCTATTGGGAGTCAAGGACTGCCTCTTGGCAACGCTTTGTGGAAGGTCCCTCCGTAAAATTATCCTGGCTCTTGCTTATAGTCTTCAGCAGGGGTTAGCAAACTTTTTCAGCAGGGTCCCTTGTTTGAGAACCAAGGAACCACTGTATTGATTAAGTTTCTTTCCTTCCGAAGTTTGAATTTTGCTCTTGTGATGTCTGCACTAAGTTGAGTGGGACTTACTCTCCGGTAAGTGTGCAGCCTGACCCAGATCACTCGATTTGATGCCCCTTTTTATGTAGTTTTTATGTAGTTTTATGTAGTTTTGTGGTAGTTTTATGTAGTTTTGCAATTTCATTGTCCTGCATGGGACAATGACAATAAAGATATATCTATCTATCTATCTATCTATCTATCTATCTATCTATCTATCTTTGGATCTCCTGGGCAAATGCCTTGGGAGACAATTGAGAGGGCTTGGAGAGAGAGGGCACCAGCAGGGAGGCGAGTTCGAGTGATGCTGCCTTACTCCAATGCAACATTCCTCTCCCCTCCACCAAAGCAATTTGCACCCTGCAGGCGCTAACCCCCATCTGGCTTGACTGATCTCTGACCCATGGATGATGTGGGGAAGATATTTACACTACATACAGTAGGAGGAATGCGCCTGCTCAGCTGACAGATGCCTGGGGAGATAACAGGCTTCTGGGTCAGTGGCAAGGATTACCTTTATCCTTTTGCCATCCAGGCCCTAAGCTTCCCCACTCAATGAACCCCCCCAGTTCTCCTAACTCTGAAGACCCCTGGGTAGGCAAACTAAGGCCCAGGGGCCAGATCCGGCCATAGCTGTCAACTTTTCCCTTTTCTTGCGAGGAATCCTATTCGGAATAAGGGAATTTCCCTTTAAAAAAGGAAAAAGATGACAGCTATGGATCCGGCCCAATCGCCTTCTCAATCCGGACGGTCTGGGAATCAGCGTGTTTTTACATGAGTTGAATGTGTCCTTTTATTTAAAATGCATCTCTGGGTTATTTGTGGGGCATAGGAATTCATTCATTTTTTCCCCCAAATATAGTCTGGCCCTCCACAAGGTCTGAGGGACAGTGGACCGGCCCCCTGCTGAAAAGGTTTGCTGACCCCTGGTATAAGCTAAACAAGCTATAGCTTAGGGCCCCCCCAAAAAAAAATTTAAAGGAAAAAACAACCTGGATGTATTGTATTTCAGTTCAACAGTTGCTATGATAAAATACGTGTATTTTGTTGCATGCAAATGGCTTTAGATACCTATGAGGTTCATCAATTACCATGTAGCATTTATTCAACACAAAAAACCAGCAACAGTTTGTTGTTGGCAAAGGACAGCTGGACATAGAAAGGGCCCCGTTACCTTCAGCAGCTTAGGACCTTGTCAAACCGAAATCCGGCCCTGTTGGCTAGGCAGAACTGCAGCCCTCAAGATTATTAAATTGCATTTTAACCTGTATTTTAAATTGGGGTTGTGGTTTTTTTGTTTGTTTGTTTTTTCCCTCCCTCTCTTTTTCCCCTATTATGTTTTTACTGTTTTACAATAATTTTATATTATTGGTGTTAGCCGCTCTGAGCCCAACTCTGGCCGGGGAGGGCAGGGTATAAATCAAATTAGTATTATTATTATTATTATTTATTTATTTATTTATTTATTTATTTATTTTGGGGTGGGCCAGGGTTACCTAAATGAGTTTTTAAACATTGGAAGCCAGCTTTGGATCTCAACGTGGGAGAATGGCGAGATACGGTTTCCGTCTCCTGTTCCAGGCATCCTCTATCGTTATCCCAGAAAAGAAATTAAGAGACTCATAGAATTGTCGAGTTGCCAAGGGTCATCTAGTCCAGCCCGTGTGTTGCAGGAAACGTTTAATTATTAGAAGCTTGTATATCTGGCAGTGAGAGGCAGGTACAGCTGCTTAATAATAATAATAATAGTTTTTTATTTATACCCCGCCCTTCCCGGTTTAGAAAACCAGGCTCAGGGCGGCTAACAACAAATTTAAAACACTTAATTGATGCAACAAAAAACAGCATAAAATACAGTATAGAACGTGAATAACAATAAATTCAGAATTAAAAAATCAATTTAGGGGGGAAATCCATCCAATAAACATTAGATGATCATCAGGGCTAGCTGGCTGAATTAGTCCCACTTGGGCCAGTGAGGAGAATTAGCTGTGGGATCCCAGAGTGGGTAATCTTCATAAAATGGGGAGAAGGAGGGAAGGAAGGGGAATAAAAGATCAGGCTAAATTCAAATCGAAAGCCAGGCAGAATAGCTCTGTCTTACAGGCCCTGCAGAAGGAGGTTAAATCCTGCAGGGCCCTGGTCTCCTGGGACAGAGCATTCCACCAGGTCGGAGCCACCACTGAGAAGGCCCCATCCCTGGTGGAGGATAGTCTGACTTCCTTAGGGACCTCTAAACTATGATTATTCATGGACCTTAAGGTCCTCTGCGGGGCAGACCAGGAGAGGCAGTCCCGTAAATACGAGGGCCCTGAGCCACAAGAGCGATGCTCGAAACAGAGCGGTGGTGCCAGGCTCCCTAATTTGGGAGTCGATTGCCTTTCTCCACCTGTGGGTCCCCAGATGTTGTTGAACTACAACTCCCATCACCCCTAGCTAGCAAGGCCAGAGCTCAGGGACAGCGGCGTAGCGTGGGTCGTCAGCACCCGGGGCAAGGCAAGTAATTTGCGCCCCCTAACCCGGGGCAAGGCAAGTAATTTGCGCCCCCTAACCCCTAACCTGCCGCCGCTGCCAGCTTCTTCTTGCTGCTGCCTGGTCTGGTCTGGTGTGGTTCTCTCCCGCGCTCAGCGCTGCGCTGGGCGGCCGCTGCACTGTCCCTCCCCAGATAGTCCCTCGCTCTCTCTCCGCACCGCACGCCTGGCACCCACCCCCTCCACACTGGGCGGCGACCCAGCGGCTCGGATCGGATTCGCACAGCCAGCACTGCAGTGAGAGAGAGTGAGTGAGCCAGGTAGGGGCAGAGAGCTGCGAGTGCGAGCGCGCCCCCCCCAGATGTTGCGCCCGGTGCGGCTGGCCCCCCCTGCACCCCCACGCTACGCCACTGCTCAGGGATGATGGGAGTTGTAGTCCAACATCTGGGGACCCAGAACCGCAAGCTGTTCATGGCCATGCAGACCTGGGGTTTCTGTTGGAACGGGGGAAAGTTCCTTTTCTGCCCCTCTCTCTGCAGAAAAGCACACCCAACTGAATTCTTGCCTGCAAGGGGTCAGTGGCACCGAAGGCAGTTTTCTCTGTTTACATTTTTGGATCATCCAGGTTTTCTCCCAGAGGAGGAGTCGGGTCAATGTCTTACCTGGTTCAAGGTGGTTTCAAAAGCTCCCTCCCTCATGCCTTGTCTGGACAGCTGGAAGGGAGGCTAAGAAGTACAGCTTCTCTTATTTACAATTTGATGATCAATATAAATGATAATTAGGACTAGTTCAGCCAGCTGGCCCTGGTGATCATCTAATGTTTATTGGATGGATTCCCCCCCTAAATTGCTTTTTGATTTCTGAATTTATTGTTATTCATGTTTTATGCTGTTTGTTGTTGCACTAATTAAGTGTTTTAAATTTGTTGTTAGCCGCCCTGAGCCCGGTTTTCTGAACCGGGAAGGGCGGGGTATTAATAATAATAATAATAATAATAATAATTAATAATAATAAAATTTATTAAATATGAATCATAGTAGAGTTGGAAGGGGTGCCCCCTATGGTCATCTAGTCCAGCCCCCTCGAGTGCAGGATCTGGTACAGGTCTGAAGATGCTGAAGATGCTGAAGGGAACTTGGTGGTTTCTTTTTTTTTTTTTTTTTTTTTAATATTTTATTAAGGATTTTCTTGTTTTACAGAAGTAAGTGTACTGCCTCGTATATATATTTTTTTCATGTAACATTTTTACAAATCCATTTCATTTGTTGAGGCATTAGGGGAAAAAGAAAAAAAAGGAAAAAAGAAAGGGGGGGTGGAGAGAGGGAAGATGGATGGGGGTGGGGTCGGGTGGCGGTGTTTCTATTATGTTTAATGTATGTAGAGTTTGGTGTCAGCGTTGCTTGTGTTGTTCACTTGTGTTCCTTTGGTGGTGAGAGAGGTTGGGGTTGGCCTAGGGTGTGATTGTCTGCTTGTGATTGGCTGTGGTGATCTTTGTTTTCGTGTGTGAGTGAGGTGGGTGGGTGTTTTGGATCAGGTTAGCCATATTGATTTGTATGCTGTTGGTGGATTATTGTCATTGTCCTGTTGGGCTGTGTATGTGATAAAGGGAGCCATACCAGGGTGAAGACGTCTTCTTCTGTTTGTCCCGTGTCAGTTTCAGTTTATTAGTTAATTTTTCTAGTAGGGCTGTTTCCCATACTATTTGGTACCATTGGTCCATGTTTACTCCTGACAGGTCTCTCCAGTGTCTGGTTATGGTGTTTCTGGCTGCTGAAAGTAGGTGGGTTATGAGTTCTTTGTGGTGTAAATGGGCATTGTTGTCTTGGAAGATGTTTAGTAGGGCCAATTCTGGGGTGATGTCTATTACTTGCTTAGTTATTTTACATATTTCTTGTATGGCTGTTGTCCAGAATAGTTGGATTTTGGGACACTCCCACCACATGTGGAGGTATGTGCCTGTGGAGGTGCACCCTCTCCAGCATTTTGGTGAGGTTCCTGGGTGTATTAGCGCTAGTTTCCTTGGTGTTAGGTACCACCTGTAGGTGAGTTTCAGTGTGAGTTCTTTTCTTTTCGTTGATATGGATTTAAACGGGGGGTTTAGACCACATTCTGGTCCAT